TTTTTTTTTTTTGTTCTCAATCAACATTTCAGCTGTACTAAAATTCTAAATTTATTAACCGCTGCTAAATAGCATCTTGCAAGAACAACAAAAAAAAAGTAACTCCGAATGATACCTGACGAATCGAAGACTTAACATTAGTTGTTGGTAAAATTTTATGTTCAAACCTGATTATACTCTCGGTAAACCGTTCGTTGAGCAGACTTTTCTTCATGTTTTGCGTGAACCAAAAGACGATTATCGACTGTCTTAACAGTTACTTCTTCTGGTTTGTACTGTGCGACATCAAATCTGAAAGCAGTCCGAACAGCTATTAACACCTATAATTTAAGAAATGAAAAGTTGTAACGAAATAGAAGGATAGATGTCACAGAAGAAACAATCAAGGTTGAATCTTTCAGTCGTTTTCGAAACACCCATGATCAAGAAATAATTTTAGAAATAAATGCAAAACGATAACACGATATCAGTAAAACCCTTTCCATACACATAAAAACACTACTCACGCTACAATACTTTTTGCTTTCTTCTGTTGCTTAGAAATTCCAGAAAAGATAATACATGTCAACAAATTTCTAAAGTAACTGTTATGTTAACTAGAAATTACAAAAAGTCTTTCAGCATTTCCGGTTATACATCATTTTCGTTTTAAACATGTTAACTTGTGATGATGATTAGCATTTTTAAACTGCATAAATCGAAGTGCGATAACGATAGCCAAAAATACCATCACCTTAAGAATTTCACTTCCCCTGATTTTCACCAGTAATACTATCCAACACATCTTCCGCATCTGACAATAGAAAAATCGAAAGACTAACTTCTCCTCCCATCAAAGCCATTCAACAGCTGCCATTAAGCGAACAGAACACAGTTACGTATGGGATGGATTAGTTGAAAAACTTAATTGCAGCTTATGCTCGCAATGTAAGCTACCAAAAGCAACTCAATTGAACAAAAATTTACCGAAGCCTTAGAGTTTTGCCGTCGCTTTCATCTTTAATCAGTGGCGACTTTAGATTATCAAAATAAGGATCGTACATCGGACGCACAGCCATCATATCGTTGCTACTAACCGTAGAAGTGTTACCGTAGAAACGATCTCTCTCAAGAGCTGATGGAGGTGGCGCTCCTTGAACACCCTGAATAATATAAGGAACCATATAATAAATCAAAAAATAACGATTATAGAGGATAAAAGGGTTTAAAAAAAGTTTTTTTTTCCCCAACAGTAATCACAACAAATCTGTATATTTGACCAACTGGTCACCTCATGAACTACCCTCAAAATCACTTTCATGGGCGAACCTGAGTGGTTGATGTAGATTCATAACGTCTACTTTGTTCACGATGTGTAGTGCTATACGTGCTTGGAGCAGTAGTTACAGTTGTAGTTCGTGGAGTATATCCTACAATGACTTATTTTTCAAAGAATTTTTGCCCAGCAGAAACAAAAGCTAGGAATCCTCTAGCTAATGTAAATCCGCTTTTGTACAGCTTTAACAGAGATGACAAAGGTAAAAAAAGTTTGTAGAAAAAAGTAAAAAATAAATATAAATCAAAGCAATTGAAATTGAAAATTTATATAACTGAACAGTGACTGTTCGGCTCTAAATAATGGTTCAAATAAGTGGTTCAATAATATCTAAGTAAACTAGAGATTCCCAAGTTTTTTCCCTCACTTTAAACTTTCATAAGCTGCAATAACCTTCTTCCAATACACGTAGCCTACTTTACTGCATTAAGGTACCGTAAAATACTTTAAAAAATTTTTTTTTCTTCTCACACATCATAGTGGCACCAATAAATGAAAGAAAGAAACAGTTTACCTTCAAATTCTCTCCTCAAACGCTGCATCTCCTCTTCCACCCGTTTCATCTCCATTTCAAATCTATCCCTCATATTACCAAACTCTGTATCAATAACAGAGTAATTACTCCTCGAAACGTCGATGTTCCTCTCACGATTCATTGTTGTATTTCTTTTGTCTTAAAATAAAAAAAAACCTACAATTCTTCTCTTTTTCATCAAATAATTAACGTGATTAAGTCAAGATGAGCAAATTCTGCTAGACAGCAAACGCGTCCGACATCAGTTAGCAGTAACCATCTCTTGACAATACCGATACCAAACAAAGTAGCAGTAAAAATGCAAAAAAAAAGAAGAAAAATTGAGAAAAGAATGGGAATTTAAACAACTGTTTTGTCATATATCATTGCTCTTCAGTTTAGCTTAGCCAAAACAGTTGCAAATTGAAAGTCTGCTTATAATTCTCTGCTTCGCAGAAACAGACAACCAATACAGCAGTTCTTTAGACCAGCAAAAAGAAAATTTCATCTAACCAACACTTCTCGTTTCAAAACAAAAAAAAAAAAAAAAAAAAAAAAGCTACGAACTCAAATGTAGATTTAAAATTTCCTTTTCCAACTCTTCTTTCTCCCTTCCACAGGTTTTGATGATTATCAATGTACCAAATTTCAACACCAAATTAAACTGTTTAAACCAAAACGATTCAGAATCAGCGATAAAGCCAATGTACTTTTGTTACATTTCTAAAACAATACTTGTCGTTCAAGTAAATAATAATAAAGTTTTCACTTTTCATAATATTTATCCTGTAGAATAAATGCGAAAAAATAATGCAGATAATTCAACATTAAACACAAAAATTTTTTTAATCCAGAAAAAACTACTCAGAAACGGCAAAAAAAAAAAAAAAAAAGCTACGAATGATAGTCACAGCTTGAGCGAATTATTTTTTCATTGCCACTAAAAACTGCAGCAAAAGTCCGACGATCTTTAAACTTAGGTTAAAAGTGATCCTAAAAATTAGCTATGGCACAGAACAATTAATAATTGGATGACATAGGGAGTTTGGACATGACGAAAATGTTCCACGGACTAAGTATTGAGAATGGTTATTGTCAACCTCAGAACTAGTCAGAAGCTGAGTTCACTGCACTGGTATTTGAGTAATACCGTTACCGCTGTTTATATCTCTGCTCAGTAAAATTGAAAACAAAAAAAAAAAAAGAAAACGAAATAGCAAAACATCACTGTGTACACTAAAAAAATTTCGTTAATCGTAAAAAAAAATAAAGAAGCCCCTTTTCCCATCCCCCGTTTTCAACAATAACAACAACAACAACAACAACAACAAAAGTGGTATTCGTTAAATAATGGCTTTACATGTTAATATTCATATAGTGCATCACTATTATTGCCATCACTACCATCAGTATTATCGACATCATCATACAGCGTTATCATCACAACAATTCCATTACTGTTTTGGTCAACATTTACTTGACTTAGCTGAATCAATCAAGCAGTAGAATAAATAAGACTAAAGCAAAACTGCTAAGCGCGGTTAGACCAGGAATCGGGAACAACAGTTGAGATTTTTAGGCAATGCAAAAATTTCTTCAACAAAACTGCACAACATCATCTTTCGCGAATTTTGTTGATGAGATCCAATAAAATTTCAACAAAACAATTCTTTCTCACCACCACCACCACCACTGCCGTCATCATCATCATCATCATCATCAGTACCATTACCACCACTGCCCAAAAAATAATAATAATAATAATAATAATAATAATAATAATATATAATAATAATAATAATAATAATAATAATAATAATAACAGCAACAACAAACTAAGATTTTAAACGTGCATTTATTGCAAAAAGCAATTCGAACAATTTGAGAAAAAAAATATTCCTTCATTTCTTTTTTTCTGCAAGAAAAAAGCAGAATTTTCTTTTTTTCCTGTTGATTCTTTTTGACGAGAATGATGAAGTAAACTACTTCTTCTACATGTTAAAGCATTATTCATTATTCTTCTTCGTTTGCAAGTTTTTTTTTCTTTGTTTTCTCAAGATTTTCTTTGCTCAAACATACATACACACAAACACATACACACACACACAGTAATACTCACACAGAACAAACTGAAGCCCGTTTACTGTTGCACATTAGTTGATGGCTACGTTAAGAAACAATATTTTTTCCAAAAGTTTACATCAAAAATTTTACTTTTATGAATGCACACACAACTTCTACAATACCAGCAAACAACAACAATCGATGAATGTATCCAACCCAAAAATAGTTGAAATGCTGCAACAGAAAAAAAAAAAGCCAAAACACTAAAAGCAGTTGAATGATGGCAAAAGATGAAAAGAAAAAAAGGACGACGAAAAAAAACGTAAAAAAAAAAGCTTTAAAAAAATTGCAAAGATTTATTTTAACTTTAGGAAAACTAAATTTGAATAAAAAATCCTTTTTCTCTTCTTCTTTCTACCAATTTCAATGCGCCTAATTCAACAAAATAATCCCCCCCAAAAAAATTTTTTTTCATACTAAACCAATTCCGACACCTCTTTGTCAAATACGCTCCTACAACCATTCCACATCACCACAATTCACAACTTTTCACACTCCTATCATTCTGCTGTCTTCGCCAACAATAACAGAAGAAAAAGAACATTTCCAAAATCTCAGAGTCTTCCAGCATCAGATTTTTTTCAATCTTGTTCATTCTTAGCTCGTCCATCAAAAAAAACCAAAAACCAGGAAAAAATTCTCTGTCACTTACTACCAAACTACGCAACAAAATAGCTTTCCGTACACATGAAAA